GCGGAGAGGGTCCTGTCCCGCCACCCTCGGCACGGCTACACCGGCCGGCTCAAGTTCCGCTTTGCAGAGGGGGGCCAAGGAGGGGTCAGGGGCTCTGTGCATAGGCAGATGCTTCGAGCTGGGGTCCTGCTGCTTGCCCGCACCTGCCTTTATCAGGCTGTTCCCGAATGGCCGGAGGCGGAGCTTTCCTGCCGCTCCCGCGGAGGTTGCAGTGCGGGGACAGTGATGCCCTGACTGAGCACCTTTCGGGATCGGCAGGGGAACTCGGTGCTACCGAGAGGATGACGGCAGGCTCTGGGTTGTGTCCACCGTCCCGGCTCAGCTCTGGGCACATGGGGGTTGGAAAGAAGTGACCTTGAGCTTCTGGCGCTAGGGGCCAATACTGGGACGCTCCCGCGGGCACGTCCAAGGTGGAGCCCGGGATTCGTGCTCGGGTCGGAGCCGGATAAGAAGGAAATCCACAAGTCTCCGTTTGGGTGCTTTGGATACGCAGCCCAATGGGTCGGCCTCCCTCCTTCAGACCCGCTATCCTAGCCGGTTGCCACAGAGGAAATGCACTCTTTTCTGCTTTTCAGCTTCAAACTGTGTCAGGATCTAGCTCACCGAAGATAACCGCAGATTTCTCAAACCAGCTTTTTCTTCTGTCCACCAGAGAGCATCTCTTCCCACGGTGCTCGGGGAAATGACACCAGCAGGCAAGGTTTGGCTTTCCACTTAGCTGTGCTTGCAGTTTGTTAAGATGTGTTATATTAAAAATGCTGCCTGGCGAATGAGTGGACAGAAAATTAACTTTTTTTTTTTTTTTTTTTTTTAATGGTTGCAACGTGCAACCTTTTAGAAGGTTCTCACTTTCCCCCTAAAGCCTTCTTTCTTGCTGATAACATTTGCCTGATATCCTGGACTGTCCATGCTATGTGTTGTAAGCAGATGGACCCATGATAATCATCACCCCGCAGTGAAAAGACAGCAAAGCAGCATGTTCCTAGCAAATAGACCTGAGTGCACCTTTCCACACACCACAGAAGCAGCAGCTCCTGTCCTCTGTTATGTGCTCTGAAGCAATCCAGCTGGCCATATGTGCAATCCACTGCTTCTGTGACTTTCAGTGGAAAAATACTACCTTTTTTTTTTTTTTTTTTTTTACTTACATGTCAGTAGTCAGTTTTATCAAGAGTTCATAAATGAACATGATAAAGGTCTCCTTTAAAATGTTTGGAAGATTAACAAATTCTTTTGATTATTTCAATCACTTAGGAGAAAAGCTAATACTTTTTCAAAGTCTAAATGACCTTCAAAGACACTCGATAAATCGATTAACTGCTTAATTAAAACAGTAAATTTGCATGGAATATCATTGTTACAAAGGACGTCTATCATTATCACATAATAATCTTACTTAGCTAAGGAACTCAAGAAGCAAAGTTCTCTTGAATTAATGCACTGAAGATTCAGTTATTAATACCTCAAAGCAATTGCAGGTCTTGCATTGGACCTTCTCTTCAAACAACAAAACATCTTGGGTTTGTTATTTCCCCTCTTCTTCATTACTTAAGGGAAAGAAAATTATGTCAGAATTTTTAAAACTAGGAGCCAATCTGAAGATGGAATTGGCAACTCTTTTTAAGAAGCATGACAGAAAAATATTTTCTTTACATTTAGGAGATGTTGTAGACAAAGACCTGAAGAGTATTTCAGTGTCTAACAATTGAAATTCTATCTATATTATCTTTATCTTTTTTGGAGTATGACTTGGGGACCCAAGTGTCCTTTAGAATTTGCTCCCAACTTTTTTAAAGGTTCTACAAATGGCTCTGGCCAATGTGAGAATAACATTTTTGTGCATTGCCATTATAGAGAGAGAACTACAGTTGGAAGTAGCTGCTGATCATCTGTGTAATCTGTTGCCGAACCCCGTAGTAGTTCCTAGTTGATAATGTCAGTTCCCTTTTCTGATATTAGGATAATAACGAACTTTAGCAGAGACAACCTGTCAGCACCATTTTTATTATCACACCTTATTCCAAGTACCATTACATTACAATTAAACATCTCAGCTGCAGCTGATAAAAGGGCACCACACCTGCCACAGTGTCACATCTATATATGATTCTTCCCAAATCCAGTTCCACGCAGTGATAACTGGGTTAGAAATAAACCTTGCTATTGAAACTGTTGAAGCTTGTTGTTAGGATAAATGTGTCATAGATCAGGAATACGTGCAGCTGTGCTAGAAAAATGACAAAGCCTTCTCCAGTGCATCTTTTCTACAGATAAGCAAAGGCTTACACTTCACTCGGAGAAGCTGCAGCCAAGATCATGTCTCTGATTGCCCTTAGGTACTACTCCTGACAACAGTGACGACAGCAACCAACTTACATGATAATTCTGAGTTTGCGGGTAGAGGTAAACCAGTATTAGCAAACAAAAATTGTTGGAAGTACCATCTTAACACAGACAAGCTAAGGTTAATATGCTCCTCAGTTGAAAGTATAATACCCAGCAACCTCCCTTAAAGGGACATTGTGAGAATTTTAGAATTTGTAGAGATTTTTTAATGTCTTGGTCCAAACTGCTACAAAAGTACATAATTTTACTTGTCACAAAATCTTCTTAGAACAAGGTTTACAACACTGTTAAAATGCCAGAAGTGTTTTTGTTTAACAATAACAAGATAACGGTTCAAGGTATATCTGTGACATTTGTCCTATCATCTGACTGCTTATGGATTTTTTTTTTAAGTAGACTGGATATCAAATGACTGTAAATATCAGGGAATTCTTTTCAAGTCATTAATATGTTAGTAGGACACAGACAGGATAGAGGATAGAACCAACAATCATGAATCTCCTTTAGGTACGTGAATACATGCTAAACCAACAGTCCACTGAATGTACATGAACGCATGTACAGAATATATAGTTGTACAAGAACACATTTGCATTTATGTATTTATTAATAGATTTCATTTTCTTGAAGGTTCTTTGTGGAAGACCTTCTGTAGTTTCCTATGACCTCATTCATTATCTGTAACAAAAAGCATTAGCTTGAATGTTGTGTTTGCAATAAAGTGATTATGTCACACAACAGCTGATACTGCCTGACTCTCCAAAAAGATCACACATGGAAGATTTCTACTTACTGTAAAATAATGGCTTTGTGTCCTGAGTGGGTTTTTTTGATTATTTTTTTTTTTTTGCAAGTGAAAGAACTCCAACATTGTCACTTCTGGAAATGTTGTGTTAATAATTGCTTAGAGAAACAAATTAGTAGTATCTTATATACCTTTCACATGATCTGTGTCCTGCAAAGATTACTTCTTGGGGATTTTTTTTTTAAAAGCTGAGGTAAAATACAATTTCAGTTAAAAAAAACCCAACAGATAAGCTGAAATCTTTAAAATATATTACAAAATTTTAAAATTATTATTAAAAAATTATATTAGTTTTCTTTAGAAAGTACACACAGTATTTCAGTTGTACTAACTTAGAGGTAGAAGTTACAATTAACTTTTAATATTAGCATTTACAATAAATGTGTTTAAGCTGAGGTGAAATTAAGAAGCATATTCCTAAAGAACCCAGAACTTTCATAAAGGAAAATAAATAAATCTAAGTAGCAAAGAATTGGCAAATGAATCGTGAAAAATCTCCTGATGCAACATAAACCATCATAAATGACTTATTAAAATTCCTATCTTTCCTCAAGGAAATGCACTCTCTTTATATTAATGTCTATTAAATGCATAAGCAGATTAAGGTAAGATTTTGAAAAGAATATATAGTTCCAGTGTATATTTTTATGCCATAATTCCAACTGTATACATAGTTAAATAGAACAGTAGTTGTGGTGATTGGCATTGTACCAATATTTGATGATGATTTGGTGAAAATGAATGTGTTTTATATGCAGATGAATGCAGAACCATATGAATTTATAGTGAATTTACTTGATTCAACAACTCACATTTTGCCAACTTCTATCTAAGAGAAATGAGTGCAGCTGTGCAAGTTTATGCTGCAAGGAATTGGACAAATATTGCTGGACTGAGTAATGTTGCAGAGCATTATGTTACAACATGATAAATATGAACCTCTGAAATCACATTACTACCATTTAAAGTGAACAAAATGAATACAAGAGTGAGGATGAATGAATGAGAGAGGTAGGTGAAAATAGATTTGGCTGGGAAGCAGGATGGCAGAGGAAATTAGCTGGATTTTTCATGACTCATTTCAAGACATGACTGAATTTAAAGACAGTAAGTGGAGGGGATTTTCACCAGATTTTTAGCTTCATATCTTTTTGAAAATTGCAGTCTTTTCAGACAGATTGTGAGATTTTTCTGTTTTATTGTTGTTGTTGCTATTACTGTTTTTACTGACCCCCTACACATACATTAGATTAGCAGCTAATCTAGTAGGAGTGGGAGGGTACAAGTGACAAACATTAACCCCACCTATGACCTCAGTTAAGGATGGCCCCCTCCATAAAGAATCATATCTGTGTGAACTCTGAGTCTAATGAGCAGTGAAAAGGGAATAGGACAGGGAAAGAAGTTGTTACATAGCACCTGATACCTAACAAATTTTATCATATTTTGTTCAGAAAAAAAATGTAACTTTATAAAATGCCGTGGATGTTAAAAGACCTCCTTCTTTAAGTTCCAGTTTCAATGAAAATTCTTCTATTGTGTGTTGGGACTCTTCTGGGCTTTTAATCTATGACAGGTTGCATCTCCCACACTTTCCCTCTTGTACTGTTCGCATTCCCATGTTTTTGGTATCCCACTCCAATTCTGTTTCTCTGTCCTACTGGTCTGTGCCCTG